TTTTTTTTTTTTTAGACAGCTGTGTTATCCTGTCAAAAAATTGGCTGTGTCAATTTTGCTTCCCTTTCCCTTGATGCATGGACTGATTGGTTTGAGGGGAATTGAGAGTTCAGGGAGATATTTTGTTACAGTATCTTCTCATGTTTCTGTTTGTTTATTTTGTTTTGTTTTGCACTTAAGTTTGTAGATACTTATTGTGAAAAAACATTGTTGCTAGTTGGGGATTTCTTTAATGTCTGCTTTTGAATGATATACTCTGGGCATGGGCTTACTATAGTACTTTGCCTCTCTTACAATATCCAACAACCTTTTTAAATTGAGGTGGGGAGGGTAATGCAGTGTAATTGGCCCAGCACCCAGTTACCCAAGAATGGACCACAGTAGTGTTAATGATACAGAAGTAGTCTAGACAATGGCATACAGAGAAAGCCTGTTAATAGCAACGACTATGTGGCCCTGACAATAGCAAGTACATTAATAATATCATCCAAGATAAAGTTGTTATTGATATACCAAAGAACTGATAATGTACCATCCTCGATCATAGAAAAGAGATCTATAATTACAGTATGAACATTAGACAAGCCAAACATTGACATGTGGCAAATATCTTTTAAGTGCAACAACTATACCTTCACTAATGACAGAAAATAATTCAATGGTAATAGAGTTCACTGACTAAAGATTAATAAAGTTTAATGATTATGCTATCAAACAGGGTTGGGAATAGGAGAATGAAAGAAGAAAATTTTGTGATTTTGTTTTGTTTTAAGAAAAAATTTTTGAAAAATTAAGGAGAGATGAAAAGGAAGAGAGAAAAATGGGACAAAGGATCCTTTTGAGTAAAAGGGTATTTATAGAATTGTATAAAGGTCACAGAAAAGAACAAATTAGAAAAAGATGGTTAAAAATGGAAGAAAAAATAACAAATTTGGAGAATAAAATTTAAATAAAAAAGAAAAAAAAAGACTGAGAAAAAGAGAGGAAAAAAAGAAAGGAAGCCCAAATGTTAATAAACTAGTGTACAAGAAAGAGGAAAAGAGTAAAGAAGAGGGCCGGGGATTTAGCTCAGTGGTGCTGTGCCTGCCTTGCAAGCTCAAGGTCCTGAGTTCAATCCCTAGTACTGCCAAAAAAAAGAGGAGAAAAGAAGAAAAAATTTTTAAGTAAAAAAATTCTGTACTTTTTTTACATGAGTGTTTCCTTCTAGGATCCACAGATTTGGAATCCAGCAAGTCATGGTCTCCACCTTGCTTTATGGCTTCAGAGTTTGTGGAGTGCCCCCACCCCATTCCAGAAGCCCCTCTGTTTACCACAGGCTGTGGCAATTGTCCAAGCTGAGATGTGTTCTTGCTTATATTGGTATATGGGGAAGGCAATCAGACCTCAGAACCAGGCAGGATATAGGCACCCAAGCAGTGGTATGGTACTTAATGCTGGCACTTTCAGATTCAGCCTTTTCTGAATGCAGCTCAAGCACAGGCTGGCTTCTCACTGCCATGACTAGGGCTTGTGCCCTTTCAGCCTGAGCTGAAATTTCTCAGGGGTTCTCTGTCTAGCTCATCCTCTATGCATGACTGTCTCTCATGGCTGTTCCTCACTTAGTCTCTGAGCAGGTTACATTGAGAACCCTGAAGTAAAGTTATTTACTTGTTCTGAGTCCTAGCTTTAAATAACCACCCCCTTTCTGCAATGGCCTTATTAAACAATCTGGCAATATGGCAGGCATGGTGCTGAATCACCTCTCCAGCTGTTGCCCGCTGTATGAAAGGAGTCCTCTCAGAGCAAAACCCAGTGCTGCTTTTGTAGTTCACAATGGCTGTGGGCTCCTCCAGTGCCTGTGCCACCAACCCAGTCTGCCACATCTCCCTGGACCTCCTAGCCCTGAGTCCTTACCTTGTACTCACAGAACCAAATTCCCCTCCTCACAAGCCAGGGTGAGACTCCAGACTGTTTCATATTTTTGCCTACATTGTGTTCCGTCTCTTCAACTTCTCTGTAGCTTCTAACTTTTCTGTCAGTTCCCTCTTGATTCCAATTTTTCTGTCCGTTCTTTCTCAATTCCTGGCAATCTACTTCTCTTTTTCTCTTTGCCAAGTTGTTATTTTTCCAAGTGTTTGAATTCTGAATCTCAGAGAGGCTGAATTTTGCTGCCAATCACCACTTCACCATTTTCTGTTTCTTATTTTGTAATCTTTGAACCATCTCTATCAATCACCTGGAGAATTTGATTAAATACAGATCCCCAGGCCCATATTGACTGGATGCTACAGTTAGAATCACAGAATCTCCTTTTTGAACAATTATCCCAGGTCATTATAAACTCAATTTTGAGAGCAACTGCATCTACATATGTTTCTTCCAACAATCTCCTTTCATGTGTTTCTTTGGCAGGAGGTTGATTTTTTGAGACAGCATCTCACTATGTAATTGAGACTGACCTGGCACTCACTATGTAGCGCAGGCTGGTCTCGAACTCACAGTGATCCTCCTGTCTCATCCTCCCAAGTGCTGGGATTACAGGCATGCACCACCATGCCCGGCTCTCATTTGTTTCTTTGTTCTACTTTTCTGTGTTGTATACTTATAAGTATATAATCATTTGATAGCACTACAGTCCAACAACACTTGCTTTGGGAATAGTGGACTGTCACGTCTGTTGAATTCATTAATTCCTAAAAGGCATTATTCAAACTTCTACCAACCTGCCTCTGCAGTACTCAAGATTTCTAATGCCCAAAATTCTGTTTCATTAGATTTTGCCTTCTCTTAGACACTTTTCTTTAAATAGAGAAGTCCCTAGGAAGAATAGGTTAAAAGGTCCTGATCCTTGGTTAATTTGGGGTACTGACTGCATATCTGGAAAATCCAGCACATTGAAAGCTCAAGGAGCACAAAAAAGCAGAATGAAATACTGAAGATAAATTCCAAAGGGTGCTATCTAAATTTTGACTGTTTTCTTTCAGGGGATTAATTAGTTAATATTGCTAGCAATGCCGTGTTCTGGAAACTAAGCCATTAATCTAACTAATGAACTTCAAAAGCAAACATTTACTTCTAGATACCAGTTTTTGCATGTTCTGACACAAGAAAAGTAACAATACATAAAATGTTTAAAGGTAGCAAAGGTTTATCATTATTTCGAGACCTAGAAAATATTCAAGGTCTTCTAGAAATTTGAAAAAGAAACATTTCAAAGTTAAGGATAAATGATACTATAATAACCTAAGTCACACTACACATTTAAAGCAATCTATTGGTCTTAGAGTCCTACGTTTTCACAACAGATACAAATACAATTAATTTGATATTGGCTGGCCAGGAGTCAGCTCAGTGGTTCCGCTGCCTACCTCACAAGCATAAGGTCCCAAGTTGGGTCCCTGGTACCAAAAAAACCAACAATTTGATATTGGCCAGCAAATAAATTTAGAAATTATAGCTGTTATTCAATTTTTATTATAACTGAATTTTTAATATTTCTCTCCCCTCAACTACTTCATATATTAATAAAATTGTCATATTTGAAAGCTGAGATTCTTAGAGTTCAAAATATTTGCAGTCAAATCACAGTTTAACAATAACAAGATAGATAGGGCCAGGAACTTAGCTCAGTGGATCTGCCACCTGCCTCACAAATACAAAGTCCAAGTCCAATCCCCGGTAACAAAATATAAATAAATAAATAACAATATTAAAAATCTCAGCCTATCAATATATATGATGTTAGTTGATCCTTTATATTGTGTTTCTTCTAAGAAAATGACTTGAAAAGATGGTATTATGATTAAATCTAAAACATTCCCCCAAAAGTCTCACGTATTCAGATGTTGAAGGTGATTAGATCACGGAGGCACTATACTTACTATGGATTAATCTGTTGATGAGTTCATGGCTGAATGTGCTGTTCAGAGGCAGTGCCTGGTTAGAAGCAGATCACTGAGGGTGCAACCTAGAAGTATATTTTCCCCCCATCTCCTCCTTTCTCTCAATTGCTTCCTAGCTGCCAAGAGTTGAAAAGATGCCCCCACATACCATTTCTGCACTGCAGCTCACCATGGACTGAACATTCTGAAACTTTGGGCCAAAATCTTTAAATTGAAGGTATTGGATACTGTATTTTGTCCCAGAAATGGGAAACTGACTAATAGAGCATTTCCTTTTATGAGCAAAGCATAGATTTTTAAAAATCAAATACAAGCTTTCCAGTGTGTGAAGATCAGACCCAGGAGGATTGGAGCTTTATTCAACATTTATTATACTGAATAATATACAGGCTTGGAGTGATGGAAAATGATAGTTTAATATAAATGGTATGGACCATCAACAAAACCATCTAAGTCACTGTTTTCCAAACTTTGAATCTGAATACCCTGGAAGCTTATTACAAACATAGGTACCTTTGCCTTATTAACATAGATTTTGATTCTATTTGTAGGCTTAAGGTGGCACCCAGGCACTTATTTTTCACAATTTCCATAGATAACTCAAATGCAGTTCAAAGTATGAGACTGGTTTGATGCAAATATGATTGAATATTATAATTTCTAGAATCAACATTGTTATATTGTAGTCACTGAGCTTCTAGATTCAAAAGATAGAAGGCAGGGGTAGATAGGTAGAAGGATCACTGGTAGAGTAGAGCATATGCTTAACATGCACAAGGCCCTCAATTCCATCTCCAGATCCACAAAAAACAAAAATAAATTTAAGATAAAGCCCAAAATAATTCTCCCAGGCTCCCTTGATGCTAGACCCCAGGTATATAGCCTGGGCTCTCTCAATCAGAAGTACCCACATGGGGTTGAGAGTCCTCGGGGAGAAGAGAGAAGAAATAAGCAGAAGCATCTGGTGAGTGCAATGGTAGAGGTGGCTAGATCTTCAACAGCAATAAGGGTGGTACTTCTGTTCCTGGGCCCACGCATCAAGATTGCCTGGCGACCTTCTGTGGAGCAGTGGTGACACCAGAGCACTACAGAGTATGGCAGTATATCAGTGGACACATTCCTGCTTCTATAACTTCTGGGCCTGCTCAGACTTACCAGAGCATGTTGCTTGGTCACAACTAGCTGTACAAATTAACAAAGGGAGTTATATTACGCTTGTAAAAGAATAAACTTCATAGATGACAACCTGGAAAAAACGCTGGCCTAGCCACCAGCTGTATAAACTGGTGGAAATGTCTTAGCTTATCTCAACTTTGTATTTTAAATGAGGGAAATAATATTCATTCATAAGATGTTACAAGAACTACATTAAAAAAATAACTACATGAGATGATATATTAAAGTAATTAGCAGAAAATCCAGTACAAAAATTGGTGGTGGTTATTATCGTACAATAACAATAGTGGGCTACAGTATTGTAGTACAATAATAGTGGAGATAATAAATCCACTGAGACCCACTGTAGATAGACTCACTCATTTCTTAAGACCTCAGAAAATAACAACCCTAGGACTCACAGCAGCAAGAAACCCAACACAAGCTGACTGCAAAATCTAAAAGATTCTTCATTCATTCGCCTAGTGAAAAGTCCAGAGGTAGTCCTGGTTTTAGGTACAACTGGATCTGGATACTCGAAACATGTTGTCAGGATTCTGTCTCATCTCTCACTCTGCTTTCCTTTGTATGGACTTCATCCTTAGGTGGCTTTCCTAGGTGATGACAAACAGATAGAAGACATTTGAAGTGACATCTTACCTGCTTAGCAACCCAATGAGAAATTTTTAGAAGCTGCTTTTTCCTAGAAGTTAAGCCAGAGTCCAAGAACTGATGCTAGTAGCTCTAAGCATCAGCTTTGGTCACTTGTTCACTACTGTATCAAACATGTAGCCAGTGGATACAATGCTCAATACCCCAAGTGGTTCACATCCCCACCAGTGGGGCTAAGGGTTGGGTTATGTCCTATCTAAACCACGTAGATGAAAAACCTAACAGAGTAGTTCCCTAAGTCAAAATAGGAACGCTATCACAAAAACAAGAATAACATATACTACAAAGGCAAAAAAACATCTTGGTGCTTTTTATGTCCCCCATCGCACCTTTGATTCTCAACAATTTCCTAATACGCATGCCAATATTTTGTTTTCCAAAATGGGTACCCACCTACATATCTTGTCTGTTCATCTCAGCTTTGTGAATGTTAGTGCCTGGCCATTGTAGAGCCCCTTTTCTTTGGATATCTGCCAGCCCAGTTCACAGGATTAAGAGGAAGAAGAGGAGCATGCACACATTGACAGGCTTTAGAGGAGACAGGCCAGGGGAGGTTCTGCCCAATAAAATAGTTTCTGAAAAGCCTACTCACCCCATCTTTATTCACTTCCCTCCAATCCTCTGAAATCAAGAAGTACCTTTACCACATACAAGGACAATGAGAAGTGAGGTCATCACAGTATGCTCACCACATCTGACCGCAATTTATAAATCACAGTACAATTCTAAATGATTTAGACCTTCCGTCTACAAATAAGAAAGAGAGAAAAGGAAAAAATTTAAAGGTTGTCAGCCCAACCCAATTGATAAGCAAGGAAACCTGCCTGTCTTTTGCAATTAATCGTGTCTCTTGGATATGAGAAATCTATTAACTAAGAAGCCCTGAAGAGAGGTTAGCCACGGTAGGAATCAGATTCAACTCCACTTCAAGCCCAAGATTAGCAAGTTCCAATTAACCATCATCATTGGTGGATGGAACTAGTGAGCCAGTGGATCCCCCAGTGTTCTGCAGATGCCTAATCTCTAATGGTTCCCTAAAAGAAACTGGAGGTGTTGTTACCAAAAGAAAGGAATATGTTCCAGGTAGGCAAGAATTTTAAGAAGAGGCCGGGGATTTAGCTCAGTGGTACCACGCCTGCCTCACAAGTGCAACGCTCTGAATTTGATCCCCGGTATAATAACAATAATAATAATGTCAAGTAGTACTTTTCAAAAAGTTATCATTAGCAACTAACCATGTTTCCATAGTACTGCTGGCTTCCTATACACTGGCAGTTGAGATAATTTGTAAATGTATCACTCCAAAGAAAATAAAAGATATTTTTTCTTATATAGGTAACTATTCCCAAATGGGCTTTGTTTATACTTCTTAGCAAGCAATTGAACTTCAATGTATGCAGGAATGGCATTAATTTAGACCTTAATAATAGAAATTATACTTATTAGAGCATGAGTTTTGAGTTCTCAGTTTTAATGCAAAAACAGACTCAGGAGTCATTTAGATGAACTCAGTATGTAGTTACAGCCAAAAAAATAAAAATGAAAAAGCTAACAGAATATTGGATAATAAAAGAGAGAGGAAAAAATACAAGGGGAAAGTATAAGCTATATTTAGACATATCTATGGAGTGTCTACCTGGAAAATGTTTCCTGTTTTAATTCCTATACCTCAAAGGGAGATAAAGCAAAATACAAGAAGATCTAGAGAATAATGAAATTGATTAGATCCTGTCTCTATATACTTATTGACATTCCACAATGTGTGAGACATGGTCTGGGGCTACAGAAACAAATAAAATCCTAAATTCATACTATAGTGGGGGTGACATATATGGAAATAGTTCTAATCTTACAAATGCAGTAAGCACAGGACAAAGACATGCATAGGTGCTGATTTTATCACAGGAGCAGCATCGGGATGCCTGGGGATGAGCTGAGAAAAAGACATACTGGAGATATTGGAGTGTGTCTGCTGCTGTATTATATGTATGTTTAGGAGTGAGAAAAGATCAGTTTGGAAGGAAAAAACAATGGAGGGAGAGAACTGGGTAATGAAGAGAAAGCATACCTTGCTGGAAGGCTAAAGTCAAAGGATGACGTCTAGGAGCTGTCCATGAATAAACAGGAAGGAGGACCCACACCTGAAGTTATGGGGGGAAGGGAAGAGATAAGGGTCCTTACTGGTATATGTACGTTTGTAGATGAGGATCAGGAAGTTAAGGAAGATCATGCCTGGTATACTCAACTTGTGACAGTAGAAATTTTTAACCTTTTGGGATGTTGAGAATCCAATAAAAATTATGAATGTTTTCTTTTCAAAAGGCACATTTACTCAAAGTTTCATATATAATTTCAGCTTGCCAACCTTCGGAATGTCAACCACAAACATCATGTAGAGAACCCAGATGAGACAGGTAATTTGCTAGCAGTGGGAATCAGGGGCTTAAAGGTTTGGAATAAACACTGAGGGCCAAGAGAAAGGGAGCTAAGCAAGGACAAGCAAAAGGCGAGGCTAAGGGCCCTGGCTTGGGTTAGAAGCTAACCTATAGGATATCTGTTAATACCACTTTCCAAGGTAAACTTTAGGAATAATCCAGATTGGCTTGGTAGAAGTAATAGAATGCCCAGGAGGGAACATTTAAGTGATTGACAAAATTCCAGAGTAGGGAGAGTAGAAAAAAGCCAAGCAACTGATAAACTGGTGAGGAGGTGACTGTATATGAACTAAAAGGGAGGCTGCCTTTCCTGCCACAATATAAATATA